ATGTAATACAAAAATTAAATACTTTTGTATTAATAAAAGCATTAAAACTTCATTCCTTTTCATTAAATATCTTTAGTAAAGGATAAGGGTAGAAATTCTATTTTGGGACTTCAAGGCTAAAAACATGCCAATGAATAATAATTAGATTTATACTTCAAAAGAGAAGTTATTTTAAGATCTTTCACTTCCATATAAGGAAAGATTAAAAGATTTTCTATGAGTAATAAATAAATTGATGAGGCGTAGGAATACAAAAAAAGGCAATAATGACTGACCTCTGCACAACGTTTAATCATCCTATAAAATAGAGGAGCAATATTTTTGCGTGTGCTTTTTGTTGTTTATCATGCTTAAATAAAATTCGTCAGCTTAGACGGGACATGGGTCTCCCCCCATCTCCAGATTGGAGGGGGCTCAAATGTATGCTTTCACCATCGCTACTAAATAAAAAAGATTATGCACAATATGGACTCGTTAATCATGCTGCTTTGACTGTAAATAACTAAAAAATAACGGTGTGGATACCGTTATTATATATATATATATATATATATCATAAGAATACAGCAATTTAAAACAACAATAAAGCAGCAAGTAACATTAGAGAATAAAAAAACAATAAAAAAGAATAAAGAATAAAATACAAGTAAAATTGATAATAATAGATAACTTTAATATTTTATTTTATAGATAAGAAAAATTAAATTACTTGCAAATACTAAAATGTGGGCTATGCAACTACCCCTTACAATGCGATGTGACCTCATTTTAAAAACTCAGCCAAAAATTTTAAAATTAAATATTTTTTTGGTCTTAATATTTATTTAAAAGTCAAATAGTGCCATTCAACATTAGTTTATAATTTTTGTGTTGAAAAGATATATTTCCTTAACAGTAATAGGAATATATGTAACTCCACAAAAACATTTTCATTAATGATTTAAAAGGCATTAATAATTAAATAATTTATCACAGAAAAAAAAAACTTTCTTCAATTTGTCCATACACTTATATATCACATGCTTTGTTCATTTTCTAAAAGGTATCCTATAACAAGAGCACAATTAATTTGTAGTATTTCTATTAAATTATCTTTTCTTTTGCATATTTTGGGTTTGGCTGGTTGTTCAGAGTGACATTGATTTTTCTTGTAAGTTCTTTTCAAGTAATGTTTTGTTGAAGTTTATTCAAAATTTTTCATCTTCAAATAAAATAATGCCTAAATAATTTCTTTAATGCCGCACATTTAAAAATAATACAAGTATTTATTGCAGCTAAAACTAAAATGCCATAGAATGTATTAACAGTCCAGCTTCTTGATTCTGCCTTAACTGAAAACTGGCTGCACATTTCATTTTCAACATCTATGTTAAATTTTTTCATTCAAGACATTATGGTTTGGTCATTTTCTTTGAAATGTTTGTAGTATCAATTGCTTTATTACATGGACATACGATAATCACATTTGCTATCAGCTTATATTGTTATACAGTAGGTATAGAACCAAATTCTGTATTTTCAAATTTTTTTTTATTTTTTCATGAAACTTCTTTTTCAGTTTTTAAACAATCTGGAACCTTTCCCCAGTTTCTATTTACTAGTCATCCAACTAAACTGGTTCAATTTTCTTTTCTTCTTCTTTATCAGTGCAACAGTCCCTTGCAGGCCTTGGCTGCCTCAACAGCTGACAAACGCCAGCGTCTCCTATCCATGGCAACTCCCTTCCAATTTCTAGTCTTTAGGGTTTTCAAGTCATTTTCGACAATTTTCTTTTTGTTAATCCAATTCTACAAAACCAAAAAGTTACTAGCTGTGACATTCTTCGCTGTATTTTGAAAGGGTGTAGTGAGCATAAATAAATCAAGTTCAGACAATTACTAACTTCGATCTCCTTCTTTGCTTTTTTCACCAAAATTTTAGCCAGACTTTCTAGCCTTTAGACTTTTCTAGCCTAAAATAAATTGATTATCTGAGACAGTCTATAACTTTATAAGAACTGATTTTGTATAATACTTTCTTCCTGAAAAATATGCATTCATTACTCTTTAAAAATTGTTTTGAAAAAAATATTAAAAATCTTAACTGAAGAAAATATTATTAGAGTAGTTTGGCAATGCCTTGAGATAAATGTATCAGACAATACAACAGAAATACAATATGCACATTATTTCATTTCAGATTAAATAATTTTTTTACCTGAAAAATTAAATACACATCTGATATTTTAGAAAAGGAATCACAATAAAAAATGCTCAGATACATAATATTTCAGTCGAATGAAACAAAATCTTTTACATATTTGTAAGATTTAAAAAAAATATAAAATAGCAGATTGGACAAATCATATAAAATTTAATTTATTTACTTTTAAAACACAGGATGTTTTTCCAATAAAGATTCCAAATTGGAATATTTTCTTTGATTTCAATATGTTTGATTCTTTTTCCTGTTCTTCATTAGTAGAAGAGCCAAGTATCAATCCAACATCAGGAACAAAAGACATAGCCCAAGATCCCCAACTTTCTTCATTAGCATTCTCTTCAAAAGAACCTTAACAAACAACAAAAATTTAGTTATCTATACAGAAATATCTCTTAATACAGGAAATTAAGAGAGGCTTCATCTCTGGGTTTTAACCTGAAATATTATCCAAGTATGTTTCTTAACTCAATATTCACCAGCGTAATTACTTTCATATTCACCTCCAGGCAATCCATAGACATGAGTTAATCGGAAGATCAATCAATACATTTTATTCTCTAATTAAGATTTTATAAAATCCTCAGATTTCAAAGTCGAATCTGACTCTCAAGGTAACCTCATTTTAAGAGAGTTATCAGTAGATTTTCTGCTGGTTGAGCACCGTAATCAACACAATACCCATCACCCTTTTCTTTTCCACGACATAGATGTTGTTCAAAGGTTGAAAAAAGTTTAAGTAAATTTATAAAAAATATATATTTAAAATTACAACAATTTATAAAGGATTTTTAACATAGCCGAGTAAAAAATTTTAGAGTAACCACCATTTATCACTTTAATTTCATATGTCCCTCTACTAAATCTCTCAGTATCAGCAAAGTTCTAAAAACCACCCATTTCAAACCCCCCTTCTCTAGGTTGAATACTATTTTTCTATATTTTTGACAACCAGAATTAAACATGCCCTTCTTCTGAATAGGTGTGCTGTAGTGAAGTTTTACGTAAATTAACATATTTTTTTTACAATTTCCTTCACTCATGGGTGTAGTGAGACCGAAATATATCAGCACAATTATTTGGATATTAATACCAGTATTACATGTTTTTATTTTATTCGCAATTTTTTAAATTGATTGATGCATTAAAATAAATTTCAAGAAACAAGTTGTCATGTAATTTTTTTTATTGTACTAATTTTATCTTCCAAGTTTACAGTTTTTAGACTACTTTTACTGAGATATTTTCAATGATAAAAACTTCCTCTGTACAAACTCTTTAAATAAATGACAAACACAAAAAGCTTATTCATAATTTAGTGAGTTTGAAATGAAAGAGATAAAATTGAATGCAAACATAAGTACAGTATTGTGCTGAAAATGTAAACAAAATTAAAAAAGCTTGCTATTTCCTACAGTATTCCCCAAGTTTTTTCTCTACTTATCCATCTTTTTCTCAAACTAACTACAGTGGGTGATCAGTTAACGAACAGATCGGTTAACGAACAAATCGGTTAACGAACACTTTCACGAAAGATTTTCGTGCTTGGATAACGAACACATACTCGGATAATGAACAAAACAAATTCTAACGAACACTTCTCGGCCTGAAAAAAAATTTATATTAAACATTTTGCATGCAAAATAAGATCACTGAAAGGAGAAATGTTCAAAGCATGCTTAGTATTGATAATTACTAAATGAAACTTGAATTAACAATGAATTTAAAGGTAATTCAATAATTATTATTATGACTAAAAGCAATACACACTTGAATACTTCAATTTCAATATGAATATCAATATTTTCTGACAGCTGATAAGTTATGGGTAGGGCTGCAGGTTTGTCGCAGAGCGAATTTCCGCGAAATTGTCATCTTTATTCCTAAAATTCACGAATTTCTCAATATGTCTTGACTTGCGCGAAAATTGCTTAAAATTTGATTTTTTTTTCATTTTTTATTTTTATTAAACAGAATTTTTTATTTTCCTGAACCTTAAATTGAACATGTAAAATTGATTAGATATTTCGGGGAGTGAATCAATAGCAAAATGACATGAAAATAGTTCAGAGATAATCACAATCTTGTCAACTAAGGTGGTCTTTCTACACTTAGGGAGGGTAATTACCTTCCTGAAGTCAGTTAGAGTACAAAAGAAATTGGAATCACAAAAGAAGGAAAATGTTATAAATCAAATCTTTGACAGAAAAATTGTTATACATGCTATTGCACTGGGCAATGAAATTTCTACTGCCTTTCTACATATCCAGTTAATTTTTCCTAGGCGGCTTCTTGTGATTTCTTAAATATGGATAAGTTTCTTAGATGAAGGGGGGACTAGTAGTTAGTATAGACTTGTAACTAGTAGTTTGAATGCAGAATGTTTGAGTTTTCACAACAATTACTTCTTAAAAGCAATGGTCAAGGAATTGCGCGTTGGTGAAGCAAATTGATCGAGTTTTGGAAATCAAAGACCGAACGCTCCAAAATTGGCAAAAGTGGCAGTTCAAAGTTTGTCGATGCCCAAAAACAGCGTTGACGCAGAAAGATCGTTTTTTAAGTTTAAAAATGTATTAAGTGATGAAAGACGAACCATAAATGAGAATAATCTGACAATGTACAATACTTTGCACCAAAATTCTGTTCATTTAAATAAAAATATTAATATTGCTTGAAATTCAAAGAAATACTTTTGTTGTGTATTTTTAAGCTTTCTTTATTATTTGCGCAATTTCTGTCTTTTGCATCATTTATATAACAAATTTTTTTATGTTTAGAATTTGCGTAATTTTCAAAATTTCCCGCAATTTTTCCGCGAATTTGGGGTCTTTTTTCCCGCGACAAACTTGCAGCCCTAGTTATGAGCGAGTGGATTTGCTGGCATGGCGAATAAATTAAGCGAATTCTTAACTTTTTCAAACAGTGCAGACTATAAAATATAAAGGTGCCGATGACGTGCTACCACCGTAAAAATACATGAAATATGAGAAAAGACTAAAAATCCTTTTTCATCTCTCCTGAATTATGTTGCTTACCTATTAAACTTCAAAGTTCTATTGAAAAAAAAAATTCCAATAGAATATTCATACAAATTAGATCATCAGTTTGGGTTTTGATTTCATTCAAAAATTCACAGAAAATTATTTCGTTTTGAGTGCTTCCCTCCCTCGTTCATCGTCCTGAATGACGAATTCCAGATGGCAGACTCATCAATCGCCTTTTAGTCGCCACTGGCAACCCTGAATGTGGTAATAACACACGTGCAGTGCTAGTGTGCGCCAAAACTTTGTCAAATGTGTACGCTAGTTGGTTCCTGTTCCTCTAAAATCTTCGTGTGTGCTTTTCTGAAACCCTTATAAAAAAACTGAAAATCTGACAATATTATGGGTCTCTAAAAGCCTGGAGTGTCAAGGACTGTGCTCACTATAATCACCAAACCAGAAATAATAGCCAAAGTTGAGAGTGGACAGAAAATGGCTGATGTTGCGAGACAGTATGGCTTGAACAGGTCTACAGTATGCACAATATTAGCTAAGAAAGATATCAAAAAGACTCAAGCAGCTGAAGGAATAACAAAAATCACTTCTGCGAAGCAAAGAAGTGCCATCCATGATAAAATGGAGAGGTTGCTTTTAGTTTGGATAAATGAACGGGAAATTAAACGAGATGTAACCAGTATGCCTATCATTCAAGAGAAGGCTAGAGAAATTTTTGAGAAATTGAAAGAACAAACTCCAGGTTCGTCATCCAAGGAGTTAGAATTCAAGGCTACCACTGGCTGGTTTGCAAAGTTTAAAAGAAGGTCAGGAATTAAACATGCATTAATGCATGGTGAGTCTGCTAGTGCAGATAAAGAAGCAGCTGAGAAGTACTGTCTCAAATTTCAAGAATTCATTGAAACAGAAGGGTATTGTCCACAACAAATATTTAATTGTGATGAAACTGGGTTGTTTTGGAAGCGCAAGCCGAACTGTACCTACATCGCGAAAGATGAGAAAAGTGTTCCTGGTCATAAACCTATGAAAGACCGATTGACTTTACTTTTGGGAGCTAACGCTAGTGGTGATATGAAGCTTAAACCACTTCTCGTTTACCACTCTGAGAATCCCAGAGCATTAAAAAAAAATTCCATAATTAAGAGCAAACTGCCAGTAATGTGGAGATCGAATCAGAGGGCATGGGTCATGCAGTATCTTTTCAAAGAATGGCTATTTAAAGTTTGTGCCCCGAGCATCAAGGACTACCTTGATACCAATGACTTGCCGTTGAAAGCACTGCTGCTATTGGACAATGCACCAGGACACCCAAAGGATCTTGAAGATAATTTGTTGACAGTTCAGTTATTACCTCCGAATACGACTTCGCTGATTCAGCCAATGAATCAGGAGGCAATTGCGGCTTTCAAGAAATTGTACACTCGCGCGCTGTTTCGTCGGTGTTTTGAAGCAAGCCAATTCTCCTCAACAATAACTTTAAAAAAGTTTTGGAAAGAAAAATTTGACATTCTTGAAGCTATTCGTATTATTCAAAAGGCGTGGTCAGAAGTCACACAGGCTTCTGCTAGGCGGAAGCTGTGCCCATCCTTCGTTCAAGGAGACGGAGGTGGTCAGGGAGACACCCCTGAAATTATGGATGAAATTTTGACAACTGCTAGAGATCTGGAATTGTAGGTGAACGAGGATGACACAGAAGAGCTCATAATGGGACATGAAGATGAACTGACGACAGAAGAACTCCAAAAAATTTTGAATGAAGAACACCAAGAAACACAGCAAAATGTGTCTCCTTCTGAACAAGAGGAAGACGAAAGAGGACCAATGCCGACATCTGCTATTAAAGATCTTTTGAAAAAGTGGGAGGATGTCAGAGCAATGGTCTTAGAATGGCACTCAAACCAAGCTGATGTCAGTAGGGTTGGGGATCTTTACAACAACAATGCTCAATGCTATTAATTTCCTCCAGAAAATCCTGAAAAAGAGAGAAAAGCAATCGACATGGAACGAACAATTCAGATAGCGAATAGTCTTGGAACGGATTATGTTCGTTAACCGATCACCCACTGTATTGTAAAGTGAATAAAAAAATTAGTACCTTTACCTGAAACACTTTTTGTTCTAATGACCCAATTTTCTAAAGTACTATCTTAATGGTTCAAAGAATTGGCTTCAAATATGATGACATTTTAAGTTACTAAATCAGACACAAAAATAAATTTACCCTGAATAAATACATCTTTTATTTTTTGACAGAATTAGTTTCTTTTACTATGGAAATATAGAGGATAAGTGCATTTTTGAAAATATGGACCAATTAGGAAAACAGTCAAAAGCTTAATGTTTTCAATATTTTTCCATACCTAAGGAATTTTTTATGTGATTTGAAATCTTCTTATGCACAATTATAAAATTCAATCATCCAAAGATAATTAATTTTAAATATAACTTTCAATAACAGCTTTTAATATTTTTATTTAATAACAGTTATAAAATATTGTACAAAATATCATTTTAAACTATGTAATTTTAAATAATAAAATATAAAACTCCAAAATCAGTTGAGTGGTTCTTGAAAAATGGAAATTTCAAAATACTTTTTTTTTTAATTTATTAATTGAGTCCTTTTTGTTAACATCAAAGTAATGGGGTGAAGTTTCATCCACTATTTCTCCTGCCTATGACATTTTTAACCCACTGGCGGTTAAGGAAATGGGCAAAATTGGGAGAATGTTTCTCCCCTACACACAGTTCCCCTATCAGTTAACATGGGAAAACCGGTTTTGCTATGCAGAAAAGACTGCAGGTTAAAATGCGACTTTTTACGTGCAGAACCGTCAGTGGGTTAAGCTTGAACGTTCAAAAGTACCAAAATTTTTTAAAAATTTTATCTTATGCCCAGAATCATGTTTATTTTCCTATCTACAGACCAGATGGTAGTATCAGACTGTATTTAGAGATATTTTATTTTAAACTAGAACTCATGTGTGTTTCAAACACATATGTTTGCAATAATTCAAAAAATTAAAAGTGAATACATGTATTTTATATACAGTAAGTTTTAGATAATTTTCTTAACGAAAAATGTAGGCAAATTTTATTTAAAATTTTGCAACCATTGAAGGGCTAATCAGAAACTATTTAACCAATTTCATTCAAATTTTTTACTTTGTTATTTTACAAAGTTTAAAACAATGTAAATATTCATATTCTTCACAACTCAATTTTTTTTACCATTAGTAAACAAAATAATAAAAAACAATAATTACTTCACAATAACTTTTTGCATGCAATTATCTTTGCATAAATGAGTTTCATAATCTTGTGCAAAAAGGTTTTAGTTTGCTTAACACAGAATTATAGTGATTTACACAAAAAGTGAAATTAACATTAGGAGGACCAATACTGTAACTGTCCACCTGACTACAATCATATTTAGAAGATTGTGGCTACAGCCCATGTTTTGGATGTTCAAAATCTAAACCACTAAAAAACTGTATGTTTATTCAGAAAAATTTCAATTTTGGGTCTGATTCCTTCATTTAACTAATGATTAGCTTAAGTTAATTAGCATATTTGAAATTAACCTTTCAAATGCTTAAGAGTGGCACTTAGCACATGAAAATCTGACTATTAGAATAAAGGGTAGTTTTTTTTTTTTTGCTTACTATAAATAGATTGTATAAAAAAAGAGCCTGAGATTACATCCTTGGTTGCAGCTAATTTTTTTTAAGTTATAAAATATTGACTCACTTTTCTCTTTCTGAGATTGAGTTTAAAAAAAAAAAGAGAAAATTAGAATAAATTGCATAGGAAATAACTAACTTGAAATTAAAAATAAAAGGATTAAGACCTCATAAAAATAAAACAGTGTGTATAACTGAATAGTAGAAAAAAGTGTATTTTACTTGATTCATTCATCAATGAGCCCATAATTTCATTGCTATCGTTCACGTGCCTGCTTTCTTGGTTGGAGAGATTGCTTTTATTGTGTAGATACACACAAAGATATAATAGTCTAAGAAACATAGGTAATTGCTGATCAGTCAAAGAAAATTCTAAATTATCACAATACATATGAATTCTTGTTAATTTTGGATACTTTGAATAGACAGAATCATACAAATTATACATGCGCCAAGTAGTGGAACATCTGTATAGAAGAGGGTCTTGGTAAGCTTCAATTTTTCCACAAGAATCTCTCTGTAAAATAAATAAATCATAAGTTTAAACTTTTTTTGCTTAAATTATGACTATATACAAGGATTAACAAAAATTAAATGATCGGATTTTCACGTTCTAGGACTCAATATTAATGGTTTGGAGGGATGACCTCAAATATGCTAATAAATAAATGCAGATGATATTTTAAGTTACAAAGTCAGACACAAAAACATACTTAATCTGAATAAACACACCTTTTTTTTTAAGACAGATTCAGATTTTTGACCCCCAAAATATAGAAAATAGAGGCAATCTAGGAAATGAAGTCCCAATAGTTTGTTAAGGAGAGTGCTCCAAAGTTAGACGCCTTAATGTTAATTTTACTTTTTGCATATTTCGCTATATGCCAAGAACTTTTTAAGTGATATGAAAATTTTTACACAAAATTGTAAAATTTGTTTATCCAAAGATATTCCATGCAAAAAAAAACTTTTAGAAAATATATACAGTACAGAACCCGTTATCCGGAAATCAGAAAACCGGAAAACCAAAAAACCGGAACGAAATTCGATAAATTTTCCCGCCATTTTTTAAACAAAATTTTTTTTTCCTTATAAGATTTCAGGATTTTTCTTTCTTTTTTGAAAGATGTTCACCTTACCATCATTTTGGAAATAATCATTAGTGTAATACTTCATCGTTTTTTCTTCTTTTTAAGATTATTTCCCAAAAAAAATTTTTTTTAGTTGGGTTTAACAACAAAAAAACGGCTTTTTGTAGCGATTCAGAAAACCGGAAAAATCAGTTATCCGGAATAGGAATGGTCCCGATCGTTCCGGATAATCGGTTCCCTACTGTATTATGTTTTATTATTTTGTTTAAGAATGGTAGAAAAAATTTTGAATTGTTTTTTTGAACAAAAATTGTTTGCATAATTTTAAAGAATGTAATTTTACTAGGCAAAGTACTAAATGTGAGCAAAATTGATCAAACAGTTCCTGAAAAATTGAATTTAAAAAAAGTCTGATAATTAAAATTCAATTTTTCGCGAACTATTCAACCGATTTTACTCAAATTTTGTATTTTGCCATGTTTACGCACTTTAAAATTTATGAAAATTTTATGCTTGAATATTCAAAATTTTTTGGACCATTCTTAAAATAAAACAATGAAAAATAATAAATATTCACTAAAAGTTATTTTTTGCATGGAATTATTTTTAATAAACGAATTTTATAATTGTGTGTGAAGATTTTTCAATTTGCTTAAAAAGTTCTCAAGATATGATGAAATACGTAAAATATAAAAGTAACATTAGGGAGTCCAAACTTTGGATCGCTTTCCTGACCAAACTATGGGGACCATATTTTTGGGATCACAAATCCGAATCCATCAAAAAAGGGTATGTTTGTTCAGAGGAAGCTCGTTTTCGTGTCTGATTTTGTAACTTCAAACACCATCTGCATCAATTAATCAGCATATTTAAGGACACCCCCTCGAACCATTGAGTCCTAGAACATGAAGATCTGATAATTAGATCAAAGATTTTTTTTTGGTGCATTGTACATTATGCATTTTAAAAGTCATGATAATTACATTTTATGTGCTTCTTACCAACTTTTCAGCCTTGATACATGGCCAGATCAAGGCCTGAAGGCAAATGCATAACACAAGGCATTATACATCACAAATCCGCTAAAATTTGCCATAAATCTAGTTATAATGCTATAAACTTTTTTTTTTAAAAAAAATTCAATTCCAGGTAGACATGTTTTACATAAATGTGAAACTTTTAAGTTTCTGGACTAATCTTTTTATTTTTTTAAATAAAAATTGGTTAATCTTAATTTATAATAACTAAACTAAACATTAAAATATGTTAAGTGCTACTCCATTTCTAAAATTATTCAGTAATAACAAAGATATAAAGCAAATTGTATTTTTAACTGTTAAAATGAGAAAAAGAAAAAACTCTAAATAAAATAAAATAAATACAGTTAGTAAAATTAAATAAACAAAATAAATAAAAATAATCAAATTTATCAAACAACCATTACTTGAAAAAATGCTTGCATAAAAAGATTCTGTCAAATTGAAACATAATTTATCGATGCAAATTAATAATTAAAAAAAACAAACACTAAAAACTGAAAAACAAAGAACTTTATAGTATTAGTATAATAGTGCTTGTCCATAAAAGTAGAATTTCATTTTCATACATTCCTAAAAACTGGACCTTATTGACAAGCATTCGCAAAAACAAGAATTAGCAGAAATAAACCAATTCTGTTTATTCTGGGTTGATTTCTCACAAAAAACGGGAGCATTTACAAAGTCTGAACACATACCAGTTTGTGATTTTCCACAAAATGGACACTATTTTCAGATTCTCAAACTTGTGAGTAGGTTTTTAAATAGCAAGACCTTTCACAAAAAATCTGGAATAACCCCCTGAATTTACACTCAAAACATAAAGTGCATTTTTATAAATTTAAAAAAAATTAGAAAAATCAGTTTTACAACCTATATTTTAGGACCTTTAGAGCTCAAAAAATTTTCCCCCTCCCTTTATTTTCCTTCAGATTTGCCTTCATAATATACATAGTAAATAAATATAGTAAAGAAAAATAGTAGACTACTAAATTAATATACTATATAAATATAGTAATTGTCTGCACAAATTAGACTACTTACTTTAAGTTGGAGAGAGATGGGCATAGTTTTTTAAATATGTTTTATTGTTCTATTTCTTTATTTAATACTTACATAAAATGCAATTAAAACTGACAATACAAATTTGTGAAGTAAATATTAATTGAAATTATATGCTGTCTTTTTTAAAATTATTTTAACAAAATTTCCCACCTGTAACCAATGGGATAAGTTAGTGTAACATGATGACTTAATAGGATTTAGAACACTGAGTGTTCCGTAATGATCCCCTTTCATGTTTATAATGAGAATCCTTAAGTATGTAAGCAGTCACAAAATAATATTTCAGAGAAAATGGTATAGAAATTTAACAAAATAATAACGAAGGATAAATTGAAAACTTTAAAATTTTCTTGATTGCCAAAGAAAACAGTGATGAAAAGTGATCATTCGACACACTTCAAAATTTCACTGAGAACTCCATTCTTGATAGCATCTTTATTACTTTCGCACTTAAAAAATAATTTGCATCCACTAATGTGTATACTTTTTTATTTCATTTTCGAGAAGAATATTAACAGTTTTATGAGCAAAGGTTAATGAGCACTGATTATGGAACAACCTGTAAAAGCCCACCATAGTCACAACAAATAAAAGCTGATAAAAGCACGTTATAATAACAGCAATAGTTTGACAGCTAGTGTCACAAAATTTGAGTAATTTTAATATTTCTTCTGTTTTCTACTGTAAACTTTATGCTAGAAACAAAAAGATTGACGTTTTACTACCAGTCTGACCACGGTGCATTGAGAGCATTTAAAACATAAAATATTTAATTTATATTATTAGGTGATAGAATAGTAACAAGTGATTATAGCCATAACTGATCTGAGGCATTGCCCTAAAGCCAAATAAAATGAGAAACACCTACTTTATTTGGCTAACAAACAAACTGAAAGTTTAAAATTGAATTATTAATTTCATAAAACTATACTTCAGTATGTATAAAAAAATAATTTCTTTTTTTCAATTACTGTATTTTTTTTAATACTTTACAAAACTGTTGTACTTCACTGTCTTACAAAATAGATATGAAACATTACAGCACATGAAAACAGCCATTGCTGTCCACTTTATTAATAACAGCTGTTTACAAAGGGGTAATGGCCTAAAAAGTAAATGGTTTTTAACATTTTTTACTGTATAATTTAAATTAAAATAATTCATGAATATGGAGGAGAGTATAAATGAATCCTAGGAGGAAAAAAAATTTTCTTCCGCCATAAAAATTTGCACACTAATCTCTTGTATTGGGAAGACTTTTTCTCCAAATGAATAACTGATAAGACGTGTCACCAATCTTAATTAAAATTGTCAAAAAATAATTTCGTTTTGTTCAATAAATAATGCCATGATTGAACTTAAATTATGAACAAGTTTTTTTCAACAAAGTTTCTGTAGATAAAAAAAAAACCATGTAAGTTACAGTTTAAAAATAAGATAAGAAAAACAATTCAATCATTAAAATTTAAAGCCCTGTGCCTCAAAATGAACAAAGATGGAGTTGGCCCATATGAAATAAGGTAATCACTATCTTTTATTGTTTTTTTTAATAAATTATAAGTACTTAAAGAGCAGAATAACTTGAATAACTTTCATTTTAATGATCAAATTTTCTCATACTAAAGGCCAAACTTAATGGATAATGTCATTAATGTCAATTATTGATTAAGTTACAAAATCAGACAAATAACATATATTTATCTTAAAAAACATAGATCTTCCTTTTTCAGATTTGAATTTTTAACCATCAAGATCTGAGCGTAGCTACAGAAAAATATGGTTCCAATAGGTCAGGAAAGCAGAGGAAAGTTAGAGCCCTTTAATATTAATTTCACTTTTTATGTGTTTCATCATGTTTGAGGAACTTTTTAACCTTTTCCGGGGGGCTGTGACAGCAGTTGTCACATCTGATCTTGGGGTCCTGTGGTGGGCATGTGACACTTTCAGCGTAAGAAATGGGGAAAAAATCTCCTCCTCAGTTAAGAGACAAGATCAAGTTACAGTGGGGCGTGTTTTATTGTTTTAGTGTTTACGAAAAGTCTCACCTTTTTAAGTTAAGGGGAGAAAAGTTTCCTTACATTTCCCACCTACCTTCAAACATCTATTCCAAGTTTGAGTACTTTTTTGTTTGTTCGTCGTTTTCTTACGTCTTTTTTAGTCAGTTTCATTGGTGCTATTTTTTTTTACAAAATTTTTTGGTTCTAGCTGTGAGTTATATTTTGAACAAATTGATTTCGTTATTACAAATATAATTTAACGAATATTTTCAATTGTATATAAAAAATATGGAATAATCAGAATCGAAAAGCGTTCTTTTAAGTAAATTAAATTAAATTGAAATAAAATATCAAAGCAATATATTTTACATAAACTCAAATAAATAGTTTTTTTTTAGGTTATATTTTAAATTTGTGTTATAAATATAGTTATTGGAATTTTAAAATTTTGATTATAATTCCTGCAGTTTAAAAAAAATGTTCTTACATGATTTTAAATAAATATCTGCATTTCCGAAGAAAAATATATATACTTAATACTACACAGGAGTATTTATTCATACTTTAGGATTAATAAATATTTTAAATGTCACATTTATAAATATATAATTTATAATTACAAATGTATTTTCTATGTTTAAGAAATCGAAATCATAAACGCTATTTTTGACTTTTTTTTACAAAACCTTCTTCCTTTGGTGGCTTCATTCCCTCATTCTGCGCACAAAACTGAGATTATTTGGTGGTTTCATTCCCTCATTCTGCGCACAGTTCAACTTTTAGTTATAGGTTCTTGAAATTCTTTTAATATCTCAGTTTTGTAACTTTTTATAAGATTAAAGCTAAATTTTTGAACAATAAAATTCTATAAATCTATTACATGAGTAAGTTGAAGTCAATTGTGAATGACTATATTTTTTTTTATTAATTTAAACATAGGATTATTTTATGAAGCAGATTGCAGTTTTGTTTTTCTGATTCCACTACGTTTGATTTTTTTTTTCTTTTCGAGGTAAATTTCGCACTCAATAAATTAATTCCTTTTATTCATAAATTTTATCATTAGGTTTGTTTTTTTTAATTCCGTTGATCTTGCCTTGTTCCGGGTTTCAATATTTATGCTAGTGTCTTTTTTAACTATCGTTTCGGTTCGATAATTTTCAAGTGTTTTTACTTAGATTAATAAGTTTTCCTTTTATTTTATCGTTTCCCCCCGTATAATTAGGTATGAAATATATTGCATTATTTAATCATTGGTTTTGTTTATATTATTTAATTTAGGAATAGTAATTATTTTTAAAAAATAAATATGAGAATTTCGTATTTTTTAAACTTGATTTTCTTGTCTAAACTTGCAAATTTTTTTATTCTTTTAAATGTTGTATTTCTACCATTTTTTTTTCTTTTTAAAGTTAGGAGTACCTTACTTTTTTCTCTTACTTTATGCATTACACTTTTTCCTTGTACTTCGGGTTCGATAAAACATCGATTAACGACACTTTTTGGTCGATCCAGAAAACCGGGAAATTCAGATATCCGGGATAGCGATGGTCCCGAGCATCCCGGATAATTGGTTCTCTACTGTACTTAGAAAATTAATTTAAAAATTCCGTATGATTATTTTTAAATAATTAACATAGTTATTATAGTTTATAATTTTTTAAGAAATCCTAAGAAATTATAAAATAAAAAGAATTTATTTCATAACATAATTTTCGATCGAAATGATCTTGCTTTCTTGAAAAAAGAGGATCTTTCAAATTAGCTGGGAGTTAGGGCAAAATTATCGTCATTTACCTTGCTTTTCTATTTCATTATTATTAGTAATAATAACAATAATAAATAAATGACCCTGATGAATGAAGAGAAAAATTATTTATCATTTATTGAAGTGACCGGTATTTTTCATAAGTCGATAGATGAAAATAAAATAATTCAGTCAAAGAGTTAATATCAAATTAAATTTCCTATGTTTTCTTCCATCGGCTATGACTTAAATCCCTTCACTAATAACTCAGACTCAAGAGGCCTGTCTACAAAAATATGATATTATAACTATTTATATCCTTTCCAAAGATTTATAATCTTTCGATAAAATCTGCAATGTTACAAATATTTAATAAGTAAAATCTTGATATTTATAATGTTTAATATAGATATTTATAATAACTAAATTAAGATCACGAAAAAGAACTCTTTTTGCATATAAGAATAGATTCAAAGAAAAATCGATTTTACTCGCGAAAAAAAAAGGTTTTTCCGCACTATGGCCCAATTTCACTGCATGATAATTCTCGCGAAAAACTGATTTCACACTTAAAACATAGTAATCCTATAAATGCGAAAGAGCATGAATTTATGTGAAAAATGGATATAAACCGAGCTTTTCCCTTTGGTCTTCGAAATTTCCAACGTTTTTTAACTCAATAAAAGAGTGTTTATGATCACTGTACACTTCATTAGCTTGCTTATCTTTTGCGGAAACATTTAAATAAACCAATCGTTTTAATATGGCATCAAAGAGCTTAAAAAAATAGATATAACTTTAATAACTGATATAAATAAAGCCTGTAATACCAAACTGAAATTTTCAAAAACTGAATTAACTGTTGAAATAATATCTCAAAGAACAGTTTTTTTTTTAACTATTCCTCAAATGCATAATAATAGTTTTGCATTTTAAACAGTAAAATGTTAAAATGTTTCATAATAATACGTTGAAAATAGTAATGTAAACCAGAGAGCAATGACATACCACAATTACAATAATTTTAAAGTAAATATATGATAAAAAATGTTTGATAGAACGAAATTTTTTTTTTTTTAAATAACCTTAAATCGAAATCAAACGCGAGAAAGATAAAAAATTCAATAAAAATACTCTCATGAAGGAAATTTTAATTATTAATATAGTTTAGAAAGGATATTGACACTGTAATCTATAGTTTTCTTTTTTTATTTGTTTTAAACCGCAAATATATATATACATATATATATACACTAAATCTAAATGTTTGTAAAACACCATAAATAGTCAACATGTGACATTCGGAATGTAGTTTTTTACACTGAATCATATAAAACCACCAAAGAAGTTTTCCCGCGCTTTTTCAGTTGTAAAAAAAAAAATGGGAATCCTCCACCAGTGGTATGTCTATTATCCCGAACTGCGGTGGTGAAAAAGATAGGAACTGGCGTTTAGAATAACAGAGGGAGAATAAAACTCTCGGGGATGTTTAACACCCATCACTTGACTTGTTTCAGGGATTAGTGGTGCCCTTTCTTGAACTCATCCCCCAGTCTCAAAAAGAGCCCACCAGAGGATCTAGATTTCTTATTTTTGCGCCCACGTGAAAAGGTTAAACAAATTGAAAACTTTTTACACAATTATGAATTTTTTTTAAATCTAAAAATGATTTGTTATAATAAAATCTGTTTTCTAAAATAGTGGTAATTTACCAATATAATTTGGATTTTAAATTTCACTTCTAAAAATAACTAGAGTGAAATTACTCTCCAAAAAATTTTTTTTTAAAAATATAACTACTAAAGAGCTCTGTTGACTAAATCTGAGCTAAAAAAATTAAAGATATTGAATAGCAAAAATTTTCACCAAAACAAACTATTTTTTAAACATTGAATGCCTTATTCTCAAAACAAAGGGTTGATTGTAAATAATATCTAATTTCATTCAGATTTAAAGTGACCTGTTTATTTTTTAACATGTTGTCCAAAAAAAAGCAAAGAGAAAAACTAAAAGAGAAATTTTAAATTTTAATAATAAATTCTAAAAACTATAAAAAAACAGTTAAAAATCTTACTTTATCCAAGCAAACAGTTAAATCTTGCATGGTTATCACTTTTCGAGAAACAAGACCTGATTGGTTTGTATCAACATAAGTTCTTTCCCAGTTTTCACCAGCATTATAAAGTTCAACAGATTTTATATTTAATGATAATACTATATCATCTTCAACATACTTCAAAATGAGATTATTGCAAACTATACAAATGTTGCTTATTACATGATTTAATAAACTCTGTATGTAACCAGGTGGAGCTTCTATAGAGTCACAACTTTTATTGCTTTGACTGCTAGATTTTTCAGTTTGATGTGATTTTGGAATGTCAGAGTCAGAGTTAGTACCATCATGACGCAGTTTCAAAATGCATTCAATTGTGTTAATTGTAATAACAACAGGTTCTGAACCTAATTTAGTCCAAGGAATGTGTATGCGAAGCTCATGAATATGGCCATTAACAAAGTAAAATGGAAGTTGCAGTTCCTGTTCTAAAACATCGAGCCTCAAGTCAAGGTTGCAGAAAACTGCGTCACCACCCCATAATGAAAACTGAAATGAAAAGAGAATAGTTAATTAATTCCGACTAATCGAAGATAAAAAAAATTTACTATTTTTAGCTGCATAGTATTTGCTTAGCTAAATTTCCTAATTTTTCTAGTTTGAAATACAGAACACAAGAAAAATGCTTTGAAGCCAAAAGATAATACATTTATTAATAAATACAGTAGAAGTCAGATAATCCGGCACGTTCGGGACCGGCTCGGTGCCGGACTACCGAAAATACCGGTTTATCGAACGGTAATTATATGATCAATTAGGTTAATAATTAAACTACAAATACAGTATGCAAATACATACAACAAAGTTTAGTTTACATTTCATATAATGTATGTACACGACTGTAAAACATATTTCACTTAGATTTAAAAAGTCATGAATGTCTTTTTGTTTTCTTGACTTTTGGCATTTAGTATAAAATTTATTTTTAATGATATGGAAATCAATAATTTCTGAAGCACTGTAGCTAGTACTAGCCTCAGCAAAAGAGATAAATTTATTTAGTGATTCTGCAGCTTCTGCCCAGCTGATTTTTTCCTTTTCTTCCGTTTCGGCATCTGAGTCACTTTCTTCAAGATTTTGAGTAGGCTGAGGGTTTACTACAATGTTGATATTGTCCTCATCGGTTAGTTCTTGTTCAACAGGCTCATTCTCCTCTATTAGAAGCCACTCCTCTACCTCATCTTCAGGCAGGTTTTTCAAGGGATTGTCAGCACTTCTAACGACATCAAAAACTTTGGTCAGAGCGTCTTGATGGTTTTCTTCCCCATCAGTCTGTAGAGTTAGGTCAGATGCAGGGTTTGCAGCTGGCGAAAGTTTTCTCCAGCATTTTTGGAGTGTTGTATTTTTTACCTGGTTCCAAGACAGTGCAATAGCATAGACGGCATCTTTTACTGTAAACTTTTTTTGAAAATCAGTCATGTCACAGCCGGCATTTAACAGGCCTTGAATAAAAGACCTTCCATAAAGGCATTTAAAATTTTGAATAACCCCTTGGTCCATGGGTTGAATCAAAGATGTTACGTTAGGTGGGAGCAGAGAAGCAACAATATTTCCTGAAACTAACTCATCTACTAGCGGGTGGGCTTTGCAATTGTCCAAAAGAAGGATGGCTTTAGTATCTTCTGGTAGACCAAGGCTTTTGAAGGATTCCTTGACCTCAGGCACAAAGTGGTGAAAAAACTAGTCTTTAAAGAGGGCGGCAGTCATCCACGCGTTTGATTGAGCATCGTATTGGACTGGCAAGTATGTAATATTCTTAAAAGCCCTGGGTTTTGCAGATTTACCTATCACAAAAGGGGTCACTCGGTGGTTTCCAGACGCATTAGCACATAGCTCTCAAACTCGTCTTTGTATTTTTCTGCAGAGTTTTGGTTTGCTGAAAGTGTTTCTCCAGTTACATCAAGTCTTCAAATTCCATGCCGAAACTTAAAGTTTCTGAGCCAACCATCAGAATAATTACATTCACTTTCAGCAACTCCTAAATCTTGTCCAAATTTCTTTGCCTTTTCAAGAATCATTGGCTCTGTTACCGGCTTTCCTTCAGAATGTACTACACTAAACCATTTGTACAATACACTATCTAGCTGTTCCAGTTTTGGTTCTTTTTTATGTTTGTCTAGAAGCCAATTTTTCAGTTGTTACCGATTGACAAGCAAACATCATTAGTTCATCTTTTTGTTTTTTAATGTCATAAATAGTTGATGAGCCAATATTAAACTCATTCATTAAAACATTTCTATTCTCACCTTTTTCTAGCCGTTTGATGATTTCTAGTTTCTGATTGAGAGTCAGTGTTACGTGTTTTCATTTCTCTCTTTTTGAACTCGAAGGCTTAGGTTTTGAAAACATGGTCACTGTACAGTTAGAACGAAAATCACTTTCTTTATAAACAGTTTCAAAAGTTACGTTTACTGTGATGTGAAAGGACACAAAACAGCAATGCACAAAAAAATGGCAAAGACGCTTCATGATTGATTAACGGAGCTGCACTGCACCTGTTGTTTCCGAACAATACCGAGCTCTTCCGGATGATCCCGAACTACCCCGAAAACTTCCGAATAGCTCTCGAGAGTTTTTACTTGCTTTAAAGACACACTTTTGGAGAAAACCAAAATTTTTACAATTTTCTGGAGCGATGCCGGACTATCCGGCATTCCGAACTGTTGGATGCCGGACTAATGGACTTCTGTAACAAAAAATTGGTAATTTAAATATTTATGAAAAATAAATTACTCTCAAGCATTTTTTATTTATAGTCTACATGGGATGTAGTAGGACCATTTCATTAACTTCATAAACTCTTTAAAAACCTGGTGACCCGAGCTACTTAACGACTCACGCGGATCATTAGGGGACACTGAAGTGATGACAGTGATGTATAGGAACTCATTAAAAGTCTATGGGAAAGAGGCTACAATGTTCACGCTTTTTTTAGAAACATGTCACTGTGGTTTTAGAAAAACACAAATCCTTTTTATTTGTCACAGATTTGTGATTGAAATTTTCTTACTGCATGTTTTTATTCTTACTTTTCTCTTTTTCCTTATTAAATTAAATAATAGACAATAATTGCAATAGTATTTCGTCAAAGAAGTTGTACCAGCTTCCATAAAACATTGCAATATAAGTTTTAAAAACACACTGAATTTCCATTTTATTTTTTTATTAGAAATGATGCGAGCATTGTGAATTCATTTTTGAAATTCTGTGAATCAAGTTACTATTAAGACAAATATCTTTTCTTTTAAAAAAATTGCAATGCAGTTACTGTTGACTGTCAAATGTGTACTTCCAACAAAATTACAGAATAATACATTGCATAAATCTCTGTTGTATCGAACTTTGAATTAATCATTGCACTGCTGTTTGTATGATAATGTTTTTATCATCAATTCATATCAATTTAGATCCTTGAACGAAAATGTTTTGATCATTTAATAAACCTTTATAAATTTTATGTCAATTTTGTTTTAGATAATGGTATAGTTTTGAAGCATTTCAATTCATTTCCATTCTGTTCCCCATTATCCTATTGGCTATTTTTCAGTATTTTATTTTTTCACATTGTGCTTATTATTGGTGAATGTTAGAAAAAATATTTTAAATTGAATGAAATTAATTTACATTTATTGAGCTTAAATTTGAAAATGTGCTTTAGACTAAGATTTACTTCAGCAAAATTTTTTTTAAATATAAAAATAGCTTTTACAAAAGTTCCAATCATTAGTTCAATTAAAGAAAACTGATTTTAATACAATCTAAATATATAAATAACATTATATGACATATACTTTAAAATGCCTTATTTATGTGATTCTAAATACTATACAAACTTTTACCAAAGTTGAAATGGAAGTTTTAATTGTTATTTTGTTTTAATGTATCATATAAGCATCATAATATATTTTTTATACTACTTTTAGCTTTAAAGTTTGGCACAATATATCGCAATAACAAAAGTTGAAAAGTTCTGTGGTTTTAATACTTAAAATATTAAGGATACGTATTAAACTATAAAATTATTGTTTATAAAAAATTCCTTTTGGGTAAATAATTATAGTAAATATTATCTCACGTACATACAATCAGTTTTGATAATACAGTTATTGTATATAAGTAGTTATAGTCAAACAATATCTTACATCTTCCTGAATTTTCGTACAGAAAGATGTATGACACAGATTTGCTGTCAGATTTCACCGATATATTTTCAAGTCATTTATTGTTATAAAAATAAATTATTAGTTTCGTATACATTTTCTGTTAAAAATCAAGTTATATAATCTGATTCCAAACCAGAGCTTCTTAATAATTATTTAATACAAATACAGTTTCTAAAAGAAGCTTAAAAATAAATTTGATGTTTTATTTATCGAATTAATATGGTCATATATATAGTCATAACACACGATAGAGACAAAGAAACATAATTAATTACATAATATATAAAAATTGGTGGTAGGAATTTAATTGAATTGACTAATCTAATAGTAAGCGGTATTTAATATATAAATTTCTGAGACCTAGGCCAGATATCAGTAAAGAAACCAGATAAATTATTTATTTTAATGTCATCAGACATAATAATATCTGGTGTTTTCTGAGTAGATTAATTTTAATTACTAGTCACTCATTTGATTAGCTAAGTTACCGTATTGGATACTTAAGTTGACTTCAAAATTTAAACTAAATTATTTTGTAAATTTCTTAGTGCGTAAAAAGACACTTAAACAAGGTGCTCAATACTAAGTTAAAAGAGGAAAAAAAATTGTGCTGTTGCGCATTGTGCTCTACTTATTTCAGATTGAAAATTTTATATTTTAATTAAAAGGCTAACCACAAATATTTTCACGCTTAGATGGTACGACATTGATAACAGGAGGCGTGACAGCACATTTTGATTAATATAAAAACACTTAAAATCAGCGAATTCGTGTATTTGTTTTCAATTTTTTTCTAATTTTACATTAAAATAAGCGTACGTGTCATTGTGCTCACAATTTTCATCAAAATACTTCAGTCAAGTCTAAAACTAAAGCTTGAAAAACAATCTTTAGTTTTACTAAAGTCTGAGATATGATCTGAACGACTAGTATGCGTTATGTAACATGGTGTAATTAGTGACAAGGACTAAAGGGGTGTGTTGAATTGTGACACTTTGCGACAAAGGGGAGGAGGAGCTCAAAATTTTGAGCAAAAAATGTCAGAATTTATCATTTATGGATAAGCCCTAATGAATTATTATTATTTTTTTTATCACATTCAAATTATAATTTTTCATTTGAAAGCTATTGTTAATTATTTGCATGAATGCAGAAAAGTAAAAAATATAAATAACTATGCTAATAATAATCATGACTCTTTATATTTCATGTGTGGAAAAAATTATTTTGGTTGCTTAGGAATTTTTGTTCTTAGTGTTTGTTAGTTGTTTGTTGAACAGAAAAAATGTGCATAGCTATGGAGCATAATGGATCATTGCAACAACAATCTTTATCCTTTATTATTGTTGCATTTTCCTTTCATTGTGAAGGAGGCGTTGGGAAAAGTTTAAGGGAGCCAGCTGATATAACTAAAGAAAAAAATTCGACTCTTTATTAGATAAAAGATGTATGAAAGTGTATCTTTCAAATCATTATGTGTTAAAAACTAGTCTGAATGTAACAATGTGAAAATTTCTAAAAGAAAAAACTGTTATTCAAATTAAGTGTTAGAAGTGAGTATCTCTTGTCACTGTGGGGTAAACATAGTAAATCTAGATCTTTTGTGACTAGGCCCAAAAGGCGAAGCTAAGTGGTTGGCATTGACAATAACTTATCTTGTTTGAAAAATACATGAAATCGATTTCCATTCACTAAACGCCATCATTATTTGCTGGGCCATTTGGTAATAATCTCATATGATTAGTTGGGAAAAGTCTGTAATTGAGTGAAGGTGGTTAAATAGAATTGAAAATTTGCTCATTTGTAGTGATATAATTTAATTTAATCAACAATATATTCAAATTAATAAATTATTTTATTTCATAGAAGCTTTACAAAAGAATCTCCAATCGAAGGAATTAAAAAAAAACACACACACACATATTTAAAAAAACAACTACAACTTATTTTAAATGTTAATTTTTAAGGTTGATTTTGTACTCTTTTACTTATATACATTAAAAAAAAGAACAGTTTTGTTACAATACATGAATTAATTACTATTTTGGATAATTGATGTTCTCCTGTATTCATTATCTCCTAAAAATTAGCAAAAGAAAGAAAACATTTTTAAAAGTTTTCATGATTTAAATTTTGTATTTCCACTTTTAATTTAATGTTTCTTCACTATTTCATAAATCATAAAAAAGTTACAAATAATTCAAAATTAATCAAAGCTGAAATTATCAGTATGGATTTGCTTTGACACAATAATATTTGTTTATAAACATACACATTTAAGCAAAACAGCAGCTAAAAAATTTTTTCATAAAAACCTCTATGAGAAAAAAAAGACTAGAGCAACAATCTAAAAGGATAAAAAGTAAAATGTTAACTATATGAAAAATTCACAATTAGAGGAGGGAAATGATTTTATAATATTAGTGCAAAAATCATTAGAAAAGACTGCGCAGACATTAACTTGGAACAAATAAAAAAAGATAAAAAAAATTACAGTAAATGCTAGAAAAACTAACAATTGTAAAAATTAAAATTTAGCAGTGAAATATAATGAAAATGAATCCTTATATCAGAGACTTTTAATGTGTAAATATTAATGCAGTCTTATTAGGCAGGTGAATAGAATATTCACTGCATCTTTAAAATTATATAATGTTCTTTAAAATAATTTTGTGTAAACTATAAAATAAATATTTTTTTAATCATAAAAGTAGTGTTTAACTCTTTTATACCATGAACCTATCGTAATAAATATTGACTTAATGAAATTATAACTTTTTTCAAACATTCTGTTAAATGAAAATTTAAGTGAAATATTATAGCAAAAAAAAAAAATTTAAACAATTTTACCCAAGTTTCACTGCATTAAAAAGGTAACTGAATGTGAAACTACAAGAATCTTTTCAATTTTATATTAGATTAAATAACAATTACTTACTTGTGAATCTTCAGGTTTTAAATTCTTTATATACTTATCAACATAGCTAAGTAATAAAGGTGTAATGTAAGACTCTAACTTGAACATATTTAGATTAACCTAAAAATAAAATTAATAATTAAGAAACTTAAGGCATACATGAGATTGATTAAAAAAGAAGAACAAATACTATTAATGTAAAGTAAACAATCGAGAATAAAAAGGGCGACTGCAATCAAGGTAATTTAGATTACCATGACTGTTTCAGTGATGATTAAGAATCACTACTGATGACCAACTTGTCACTGAAGAGGGAAAAGCAGTGACCAAATTGGATATTCAGCAAGTTTATAACATCTGGCAAGACATCAGTGATTCTTCTTATTTCCAAACAGACTTTTTGCATTTGCTTTTATATGAAGTAATTATTTACATGAGTACTGGATTACATTAGCTTGAAAAAGTTAATTGAATAAGTTTTAAAGATATTACTCTTAACATCTTATTTATATTGTTAGTATGATCTTTAGAATAACCTTCAGTTTTGCTTTAATAAGTATTCATTACAACTTAATGACCATTCCATTAGTTATTTCAAACAAGATTATTTAAATTTACTATTGTTAAGCAAAAAAAAAAAAAAAATCATAAAATCCTTCAAATTTGTTGAAACATTAATAAGATATCAAATAAGTTAATAAAACTATTCAAATATATTACAGCCTTGCTTAACCCCTTTGATGATTCTGCAAGTAAAAAGTCTTATTTTAACCTGCAGTTTTTTCTGCATAGCAAAACCATGTTTTTCTATGTTATTAGATAGAAAAATAGTGCTTTTGGGAGAAACATTTTCTAAATTTTACCCATTTGCCAAACCGCCAGTGGGTTAAATTATTAATACAAATCATAGAAACCTTTAAAAATTATTACTAAATTAAAAAATTAAAAAAATTAAAATTAAAAAAAATAAATAAATAAATTTAAAAAAAAATTTTAAAAATATAAATAAAAAAAAAGGAATATATAATCAAGTAATTTGTTTTTAAATTAAAATCTTGAGTTTCAGATTTCTTAAATTTTACTGTCAAGATTTTAATTTAAAAACAATATTTATAGGTAAAAAGTCAAAAAGAGATACAGAGAACCATTTTCAGGGTATCTGCTACATTTCAGATTTTCAAATTCATGATTTTTCATGACTTTCCATAACTCATTTCAAGAAATTTTCATGACTTAACGAAGTTACTATTTTCTCCGACAAAAATTGAATAATAAATTTAAAAAGCATTATAATAACATTAATTAAAATGAGGGTATAACCAAAACTGTTATATTTTGCATCTTCATATTTATTGATTTCAAATTTAAAAAACAGAGTAAAGAAAGAGTTGAAGCAATATAATAGCTGAGCAAATAATTTTTTTTCCTGCAGAATTATATTCTAAAGATACTTTTCTCATTCATCAGAAAGTAAAGAAATACTCCTGATTTTTCCTTTCTCATTTCAGAATAAAAAAAATTTGCCAATGACTGGCTTGCTTCAACTAGAATTTTAAATTGATGAAATAAAAATAAATAAATAAATAATAATTCTGAAATCACAGAAGTTTAAAAGATACTTTGCTTTAGAAATGTCTTCTCTTTCATTTTTTGAAAGAACACATTATTTTTAAAGAACATGATAAAAACTTTTCATATTTTAATAAAATATGACTCTGAGTGGGGATTTTGTTACAAATTCAGATATTCGGAATACCATGAAATGAGGAGGGGGGGATATTCCATATTAAAAAAGAAATTTTTTGGCGACCTAAATCCATGACTTTCCATGATTTTTTTTTTTAAAAAATAGTTAAAATCATGACATTTCATGACAGATTTTGTTCAATACCAAAATTCATGACTTTCCATGATTTTTCATAACTTTCCAGGTGTGTGGATACCCTGTATTTCACAATTTTTGTAATTAATTTTTATTTAAAACAACTAAAAAAGTTTTGATATTGTTATGGATAAAAAAAAAGGTCATGGAAATTTAGACCAGTGGTTCCCGATTTTTTCCAGCTATGAAACCCTAAATGATTAACCACCTTTTGTGGCACCTAAAATTAATAAAGTTCATTAGGTATTATGAACCAGACCAAAGAAACACTTCTTATCAATTTAAAAATATTAACATAAATTTTTTTTATCATTTTATCAATAGCAGTCTCAAAATTAGATGTCATGTTAGACAGTTGAATTCACAGGTCTGAAACGAAATGTCCTCATGCTCTGCAAGAGTTCTCAGTGTATGCATTAGCTGAAAATAAAAAAATAAATGATTTTTAAAAAAAGAAAAAACTAAAAATGAACTATGTACGCTGAAAGAGCTGTCCTAAATGTAGAGAATGCTCATCAAAGAAGCACATTTTTTATTGTTAAATTTTTATTATTCTCTTTGAATTGAAAAGTTTGATGGGAAGTATTAGCGCAAGTATTTATTCTAGTTGCTTAAAAAATTTATTCAATACATTGATATTAGAAAAAATATTTTTTAAAATAACACTATTTTTACAGACATTTAGCTTATATAATTTCATAAAAGAGGCTAAAATATTAAATAATGAATTTGATCTGATTTCAATAAACTTATTAAAAATCTGATTTTTTTTTTTTAAATAAAAATATTTTAGCTCTCGGAACCTCTGAGATCTTTCTATGAAAGCCAAGGTTTCCACTGAACATTTTTTCGGAACTGCTGAGTTTGATGATGCATACTCACCATTTTGGGGAATATTTGTATTTATACTACAGGGTGTGTAGCCAAATTATTCAACAAAAATAAGCACTTTTCAAACACTCAAATAATATTTTTAAGCACTTTAAAAAAATATAATTAGGTAGGGTTGGAAAGTTTTTGACAAATGAGGGTTTTATCTGGTTTTAATTGTCATGTCAAAAAAAAAAACCTTTTGGCATTGCTTTTTACAACTGTCAAAAGTTTTGAATCATGTAAATCGAATGGCGTTTTCATACGCTACGGACTGACGATGCGCCGAAATAGATTGGGGTTGAATTAATTGTGGAAACGTTTAATTGAACAATATGAACAGTGTTTTTCTGCATAATTCATAGTGAAAATCAACATGGTAAAGGAAAAATCTCATTTTAGAAAACGGAAAATTAAGCACTTTTTAAAAACACCCAATGAAAAAAGCACCTTTAAGGGCTTTTAAAAAACGAAAATCGAAAATAAGCACATTTAAGCACACCCTGTATTATATTGCATAACTCAATTTTTTAACATTATATCAGAAATTGGTGGTACTGATAGAAAGATGGAGCCTTTCTAAATTCTAATGGCGGAAAGTTGTACGAAACCAGGTCCTTAAGGTTTATTAATTTTCAAAAGAAATTTTAAGAATAAAAATCTTTAAATTTTCATTTGAATGATTTTTAAATTCAAATATTAATATTATTTAATGTAAGAAAAACAACATATTTTGGAAGGTAAATATGAATTCTTTTTTGGAAGAATGCTAAAACAAGGTTTTATGCGACCAGGTTCAATAAAACAAGGTATATAGTAACAGAGCTGGCTAGTTCGAATCTGTTTTTTTTTTTTTTAAAAAAACAATTATGGTTGGTAATTTTCCACTAGCTTTTCGCTTTAATTTTAAGCTTAATCGATAATTTTAATTCACATTATTTTTAACAAACATACAAATGCAAATTTTCATTGTTTATATATCATTGCTCATTATATTCCTACAAAAATATATAAAATTAATCAATGTGAACAAAGTTAAGGTTAAGTCACTGTCGTAGTTAGGCCTCAACCATGAGGCTTTCCAGCCAAGGCTGGAGCCAGATACAACATCTGCGAGAGAATAATTAATAAAAATTAGTTGAGTTGATGCCAAGAAGTAGAAGGGCGAGAGCGTAAGAGGGCCTCATTCCTTGATCCAACACCTATTTTATACTATCATTGTAAATATCATATGTTGGTTGTATCCTTTGTTTAGTTCAATAATAAATAGTTATTTAATTAGATGTTTTCAGTGGTTAATTTAACCCCAAAAATTGTGTTTTCATACTGAGCATACGGCATTGGTGATTTTCCCCAAGATTTGAATTGAAACTGAATACAAAATGTAATTGGAGTGATATAATTTGTCGTATTTACTTTAAATTGTGATAAAAGGAAAAATTTAGAGAGCAAATGAAATTTCCGCTGTGGATTTCTTTTGAATTATTATGACTAAAACATTTGTTCCGAATTTGGAGAGAAACTTTGATAGAGTCGAGTCTTCTTGGTAGAAGACGGCTTATTGTAGTTCATCTAAATGTGGCAACAATTTTTCTGAATTGTCATTGATTGAAATAGCTATGGTTTCGGTTGGAAATTTAATGTGGATAGAATAAAGTTGTCATGGAATCAATGATTTGGAAACAACTACTTTTATTGAGTCTCAATTTTGATTAAATGTGGAAAATATTGTGTTCAATGGTTATTGCTGATAAAAGTGAAACTTTTTTGAAAAAGGTCGATCAGAAAGAAGTCTTAATTTCAAGGGTAAGACTGTGTTATCTTAGCCTTTTTATATTTGTACATTTTGCTCATAACATTGAAATATCAAAATGATAAAAAAGAAAAAATGATCAACAAAAAGGTTAGTAGTTATTCAGATGATATAGGAATTAAATTAAAATAACTAGATGTAAAAAAGAAAAAAATGTTAATATATGAACTTAAAATGAAAGAATAAGCAAGAACTAGAATTAGAAAAAGAAATATTAAAAACAACTAATGCAGTAAATTATAATGGAGGAATTACAATTTCAAATGAATATTTGTTAGATAAATACTCCAAAGTCTAAAGCAATAGACCCAAAACTATGTCATGACCATAGCAATATACCTTATGTTTCCATGCTATTGAAATTATATTCAAAAGTCACAATATACGAGAAAATTTAAGTGCGAGTTTAATACAACTGTTTCTAGCCGGAAAAAATTAGAAATTTAATTTTTAGATTAAATTCAGAAAAGCAAAATGCTCTTAGCAACTTAAAGAAAGAGTTCTTAGAAAAAATAAAATGACCTCTAAGGAATTAAAAACTAGCTTTGATATTTACACAAAAAATTAGATAATGAATCGTGTGTACTACATTGTGTATGTATGCCGTGAGATTGCCTAGTATGTGGCTACAATATCAAAAAGAGTTGAAAATTTTGAGAACTTAATTTCTTTAATTATTTTTGACAAAATGAAGCAATGTTTATTCCCTGAAGCCTTAAATTATGTTTTACTTTCAGAAAAAGAAACTTGGCTAAAAGAAAAAGAAATTGCTTCTTCAGCCAAGTGCAAGCAGAATGAATACCTAAACATACATATAATGTTAAGTATATGGCCCCTCAATTAAAATTTGGCCATGATTAGGCAAATAAAGAATGTTATGTATATGGTGGGAATCATCTAGCTAAATTTTGTAATAAAAAATTTGTCTCTCCTAAAAGTAAAGATCAGAACAAGGAACAAGAGTTCCAAAATAAGTAAATTGGATCAAAAGCATAAACAGGAATAAGCAAATTTTTTTAATTTTGTATGTTATTTTATAGATAAGTTTTAGAATTTTTTTTTGTTACCAATCTAAACAAATTTGTACTGTATATATGCAGTATGTTTTTATTTATTACAGTAAAATGTAAAAATATATTTGATTAAAAAGACATTGTTATAAGAAATATACAAAATTTGTATATCAGTATTTCATTTAATGTTAATGAATTTTGTTAATAAACACAATGTTACACTTAAAGATTGATTTAGTTAAAATAAATGATAATAAAGCATTTTATTCCTACTACTATTTTATATGTAGACATTCATGCAGCCCCTTCAACATTTTTACTTTCTCTCTTTATCTTAAAATTTTTTAAAAAGAAAACTAATTAATAAATATTTCATGATTTATTATATTAAAGTTAGATTGATTCAAAAGACAATGATGCAAGAAATATTTATTTTACAAAAATTATTTGATACTAATGCTATAAATTGTACAATGCTAAATGATGACAATAATGTAAATAATGGTAAAGTATGGCAAAACCAGGGAAATCAGCTTTACATACATTTCTAAAATAACATTTAGATATTAAATATTAATCTGCATGCTTAGTGAGGCTGTATTGTTTTAAACATATTTAAAATCTTCAGTAAATTTTCTTTTTAATAATGTTAGTATACTTGCCTCATTGCAGCCTTGAGCAAATTTAAAGTGCCTAAAAAGTTATCTAGGCTGATGTGTCTGACACTAAATGAAACCAAAACTAGGGTCAAAATACAGAATAATCTATCAAACCCAATGGTAATAAATAACGGTGTGCGACAGGGGGATGCATTGGCATGCCTACTCTTCAATTTAGTATTAGAAAAAGTAATAAGAGATTCCAACATTAACATCAGGGGAAATAGTTTTAATAAATCTGTACAACTGTTGGCTTTTGCTGATGACATAAACATTATTGCTAGAACACCTATAGCACTAAGACAGGCTTTTATTTCTTTAGAGAAAGCGGCTCTCAAGATGGGCCTGAGAATAAATGAGAGCAGAACTAAATATTTGCCCTGTACTAAAACAAACTTCAATGACACCCATTTAGAAATTGAAGAATATAAATTCGAGGTGGTTGACAATTTTGTTTACTTGGGTTCTGTAATCAACAACAGGAACAGTACCACAATGGAAATACAAAGAAGAATTACTATAGCCAATAACTGTTTTAAAGGAATTCGAAAATATATAAAATTCAATGTAATTCATAGAAAAACAAAAGTTTTATTATATAAATCTCTTATAAGATCAATTTTAACATATGCTTGTAAAACTTGAATCATATCTTGTACGGATGAGGCTATGTTGGGTACCTTTGAGAGAAAGGTCTTGAGAAATATTTTTGGAGGAATTCAAAAATATGGTGTGTGGCTTAGAAGATCAAATTTAGTGCTATATTACTCATATAATGAACCTGACATTATTAACTTTAATTAAACGACAAAGAATAAAATGGGTTGGCCACATTATCAGAATGGACGAAGACCGTACCACAAGAAGAGTTTTCAATGCCAGACCAGTTGGCACACGAAAAAGAGGCAGGCCGAATTTGAGATGGATAGATGGCCTAGAAAAAGACCTTTTGGTCTTAAAAACAAAAAATTGGAAAACACTAGCAAAAAAAAAAGGTTAGCCTGGAAAAAACTTCTTGAGAAGGCCAAGGCCCACCCTGGGCTGCTGAGCTATTGTACTTAAGGAAAAATGAGGCTACTTTTTTTAATTGATTATTGAAATTATCAATTAATAATTAAAAAAGTTATAATGCAATACTTTTTAATGGTTAAGTAACTTTTAATTCTAGGCTTAAAATATTGTTCAACCCTGTTATTTTTTGTTTTAAATAAAGCGAAAAAATTGCCTTAACCCCCCCCCCCCCAAAAAAAAAAACTTTTATTAACACTATATAGCAGAAATAAAAAAATACTTTTCTCTGCAGTTATAGCAAGAAATAAATATTATGACACTCTAATGCTATGAAACATACATGGGTTTAAAAATCAAGGAGCATAAGGAAGAAACTTCAAGTTAATCATAATTTACTTAGTTGATCAGATAAGAACAGAAATGAAATTCCGATTGATACTCAAGTTCTTCTGCAATGCTACATGCTTCAAGTACTCATTGCTTACAGTTGAATACACAAATTTTTAAAATTTGCAAACTCATTAACTATTCTACTGAATACACTCAAATTTTGTATTTTGTCATTCAAATTTACAGTCTTTAAAATAATGTAAAAATTTGTATAACTAACAATTCAAATTCTTTTGACCATAAGAAAATAAATTAATAAATAACTGTTAAAAATTATTTTTTCACATGGACATATTTTAGGATAAAGAAATTTTAAAATTGTGGAAAAAATGTTTTGATCCAGTTCAAAAGTTCTCGAGATATGGATAAAGACGCAAAAACTAGAATGAATATTTAAGGGCCCAAACTTTTGACCACTCTCCTCACAAAACTATTAAGACCATTTCTTCCAGATTGAAGCTATCCCTTATATTTAAAAAGTTAAAAATCCATATCTGTTCGACTGAACTTTTGAAACCATAATTTATATACATTGAGGGTCTAAAATCCAAATCTAAAAACATTATGCTCATTCAGATAAAGTATGCATATATAGGATTTTTCTAACAAAATTAATAGATCACACAATTCATTAACACGCTTGAAATCAACCATTTGAACCATTAAGACTGGCTCTTAGGATTAGGACCATTAGGAAAATCCAATTTATAGTGCCAAATTTATTCATAGCAATATTCTTGTTTTCTTTAGCTCTCTACGTGATGGAACAGGTTACAGCTTGCTAATGATGAAGAATAAACACTGCTAAGAGATTTGGTAATGAAATGCATATTTTGCTTCAAACAAAAATACGATAGATGTTAACCAATGAATCCAAGTTAACTAATGAAGTTTTAATCAGCCATTATACTTTATAAAAACAATTTTAACAGATTGATTATATTTTCCTAATTACTGCATCAACATACATACAGCGTTCTGTCACCTAGTTATAATGTAACATATGTAATATTTTATTAGCATAACAAATTAAGGTTTAGACTATTTAAAAATTTGTTGTTGTTTGTTAAATGAATAAGAAATATTTCGTTTCAAAAACTTGGTAGCTTTACATACACTACGAAAATAAAATAAGGAATACTCAGACTTACAAGAAAATCTTTTAAATGCGACTAAAATAAAAGTTAAACACTTCGGAAAAACTCCTTCCATATTCAAACGATTTTTATTGAGAATTCATTTTACATTAACTAGATTAGGAAAACTCTATTATTCTTTAGAATAAAAAGTATAGTGCTCTAAGTACAAAATAGTTTTGTTCTTCATTGCATCTTTATTGCAAGTTTCTGCCAACACAGCGATAAAACTCTCAGTCTGCTTATATTGCTAAGTTGATGCTTAATAATTATTATAAAACCTTATGTAAAGTTTGAATATTAAGTTTGCAGCTTACCGTGTAAAATTGAAACAACAGCAGTTTCATTGTTTTTACTGAACCGTAGGGCTGTTGCTTGGCTGACCGATTTTTTTAATAAATAGAGACATTTGATCGGTCAATTGCACCATCGTTTTCATCTTTATCGCTTAATCGTTTAGTCAGACTTACTAGAATGGCATTTTTAGCACTTTTGTTTGGCGCAATTTTGCTAATGCGCATGCTCGGTTTGATAATTTATTCAAACCAATCGAAACACTTCGTAGACAATGAGGTATAGAAACTTGTATCCCCACAAGGACATAAAGATAGAAAGATCAATCACTATACCAAACGGATGTCAGGGTGAACTTTGACATCACTGGTCTCAACGGAATTTTCTTTCAAACGGAATTTTCTTTATTTGATTTTTATAAATTTCTATGATAAATAATAACATTCTGTCTCTGTGCCAGAAAATTCTGAACAAATTTTTTTAAGATTTATAATTTGTAAATTTTTAAATTTAAAATGAAAAAAAATTATATATTCTTAAAAATTGATTTTTATATTGTTCTGAAATTCAAATACATACTTGAAATAAAAAAAAAAGATAAAATAAATAAAAGTAAATAAATAAATAAAAAACAATTTAAGGGATTATTAAAAATTATGAAAATAACTAAAAAAATAAAATAATTAAAATAAAATAAAGAGCAGCTTTATAAGCAATCTAAGCTGCCCAAAACATTTAATTTCATGAAGAACAAAAAATTTGAAAATGTTAATAATTTCTGAGATAGAGCCCCATAATTGTCTGCTAGCGTTCAATTAGTTTGTTATTAAATCTTTTTCGTGGTTTTCATTTGTGCGTAACGTAAATTCTAATTATTTTCGCTCGAAAAGTCTTTCAAAATATAATTTCATTCCTGTATTTAAATTATAAGTAACATTGATATCTGGGTTGCGGACAAAAATACAAAAAAGTACAAAAAAACTTTTAGAGCATTTCACAACATTCACTTAGATAGGCTATATATCAAAGATGATAAATAAAAGTGATTGATTATTAAAAATGATTTCATTGCTATAATGAAAATTTCGATGGAATCCTATTACCATCAAGAAGTCTGACAAACGTTTTCGTGGTTTTCCTTGGCTTGTATCGCAGAATTACTACTACAATAGCTTTTATAAGTATGCTTTTTTTCTGATACTTGAATTGCAAGTTGCTTTGATTCCTGGGTTGTGTAAAAAAAATATTAATATAAGAAAAGTGTCTCACAATATTCAGTAAGATGACAAATTGTTTTTCAAGGACGATGAAAAAAAATTTTTGATTATAAAAAATAATTTCATTGCGATAATCAACATTCAGCTGAAAACCTATAACCATTCAACAATTTAAAAGACTTTTTCGTGGTTTTCCTTCGCATGTAACGCAAATTTGATTATTTTAATTTAATCTTCATTAAAATAAACTGTTCTTATAACTTTCATGAACATGATTGTATTCCGATACTTAAATTGATAATTACTTTGATTTCTGAATTGAATTAAAGATAATAATGGCGTTTCGTTACATTCACAAAGATGATAAGCTTCACAAGGATGGAAAAAAAATGATTGGTTATTAAAAAATGATTTCTTTTAGATAATAAACATTTAGCTAGAATCCTATTACCGATAAAAGCGATTAAAAAAAACATTTTCGTGGTTTTCCTTAGCGTGTAAAGCAAAATTTGATAATTTTAATTAAAATTGGTCATTTTTATAGCAATTATACTTCGATGCTTAAAATCCGAGTTACTTTAATTTCCGGGTTGAGTTAATAAGTGGAGTTTTTCGTTCTGTTCAGAAAGATGGTACCCTATCTATTAAGGATAATAATAATAAAAAAATGGCTGTTTAAAAAAATTATTTTCATTGAGATGATGATGAACATTTAGCTTGAATCCTATTAACACCAAGCAATTTGAAAAAAAAAACATTTTCGTGGTTTTCCTTTACGTGTAACGCAAAATGTGATTATTTTGATTTAATCTTAATTAAAATAAACTAATCTTTTAACTTTCATAAATATAATTTTACTCCGATGCTTGAATTGCAAGTTATTTTATTTTACATACCAATAAAAGCAATCTGAAAAACATTTTCGTTTGTCTTTCTTAGCGTGTAACGCAAAGTTTGATAATTTTAATTTCAATTTAATCTTGATTATGATTAATTATTTTTATAACTTTCATAAATATGGTTTTATTCTGATACGTAAATAGCGAGTTGCTTTGATTTTCGGGTTGAGTTAAAAACTACAAATATATGAAGAACATCTCGTTATACGAGGGTTACTCTGAAATTTTTGAGATACGTGTAGACAAGAATTTACAAAATAAAAATAACGGTTTAATTTTAAAATACAAAGTGTATTTTAACACGGCAGACGATTTTTTACTGACTTACTTCAACTTGCTTAGCGTAGAATAAATTTTAAACAGAAGAGAAAAATGAAGTTGACGAGAGAACATTTTCGCGCTATGATTTTCTACGATTTTAAAGCAGGATCAAATCAAGAAGAATACGTTCAGCGGTTGCAATTAGCATTTGGTGATGAATCTCCAGCTCGCGTTACTGTATTCAGATGGTTTAAAGAATTTAGCAGAGGTCGCAATTTTCTTCAGGATGAAGAACACACAGGAAGGCCAGTGATCCCGGATAATGTGTCTGCTATACGAAAAATGTTAAAGGATGATAATCGCTGTACCTATCAAATTATACAGAAGGAACTTAACATTAGACCCGCAGCCATACACAAAATTAAACATGAAGAATTACATATGAAAAAAGTAGTTTGCCGTTGGGTTCTCCATAATCTAACTGAGCACCAAAAAGAGGAGCATGTCAGAATCAGTAAAGAAACTCTTAAATTGCTAAATGATGGTGACCACAGCATCATTTCTGAAATTGTAACGGGTGATGAAACGTACATACCGTTTTTTGACTTTTCAACGCGTCAAGAAAGCTAAGTATGGGTCTTTGAAGATGATCCCACGATGATGAAAAGACAAGGTGCACTGAAAGAAGTGACGTATGCCGCTTTCTTCAGAAGTACGAGATTGGTCAAAGCCATCAAGTTGGAAGGACAGAAGACAGTAACAGCAAACTGGTATACCACTAAATGTCTTCCAGAAATTCTACAAGAAGTGAATGTTAGGGTACTAGTGCTTCACCATGGCAATGCATCTTCACATACAGCCGGATTAACAATTGAGTTTCTTAAACAAAAACAAATTAAAGTGATAGATCATCCGCTGTATTCACCTGATCTTGCCATGTGTGACTTTTGGTTATTCTTTAATCTAAAAAAGAACTTAGTGGACGTCGTTATCCTTCAGAAGAAGGGATTGATGTGGCTATAAATGCATTTTTTTCATCTATTCCAAGAAATGAATGGCTTGAGGCATTTAATCTGTGGAAAATTCGACTCCAAAAGTGCAATGATGCTGGAGGAGACTACTTTGAGCACACCTAAAATTTTGTAAGTGTAACTTTAAAAACCTAGTTGTATCTCAAAAATTTCAGAATGACCCTCGTATTCACAAAGAAGTCTCTCAAAGATGCTAAAAAAATTATTTATTATAAAAAATTCATTGAGATTATTGAGCTTTTAAATGGAATCAAGCTATCTGAAAGATATTTCCGTGATTCCTCTTTACGTGCAATGCAAAATATGATTGTTTTATCAAACTCTTATTCAAGCAAGGAAAACAAAAAAACATTTATACCACTACTAACCACTTCAAAAACCAGAGTAAATGCTTTATAATAAAACTGATACGCCAAGAATTTGGAATTATGAAGAACTTGCCTGTGAAAAATGACTCTGAAGTGAATGACTCTGAAGTGAAAAATAACTTTGAGGTGAAAAATGACTTGTTACATCTTGTGACTCTTCTACATTACTGTTAGAAAATTTGACGGGTCATCAGGTTGTCTTTTGTCAACATCTGAATAAAATTCGATCAAATAGTATTGTAATTGCAATGGAGAAAATATCAAAATGATGAAATAAACATGAACTTTTTATACAGTGTTAAAATTTAAAAACTTAAGTACTAGGGTTCCTATGATTTTATTATTTTACTAATAACTTATTCTAGTATGTTATATTGAAATATCTGATATATCTGGAGACAAAAATTTTTCTAACCAAATATTCTTTGAGTCAGGAAAAGACAACAAAAAAAAGAAGAAGAAAAAGAAAGAAAAAAAACTGTTGATTTTTTTGAAATAACTCTATGACCATATCGGTGTCACGTATCAATGACATCCGATAAAAATCTAACTGTCAATGCACTTATTAACCGAGGTGAAGAGATTAATTGAATGCTTAATAAAATAAGAGCTTTCTTTGATGATATGTTTTTTAAATTAGTGGTGAAATCCTCGAATAATTATGTTTAAAAAATCGTTGCAAGAAAGGTTTACAAAGATATTTTTTTTCCAAACTCATGCGAGTTAATTCGAATCAAATAAATAAATGTACTATATGTACTCTCTTTTTCTTACTACAGGATTCCAACGAATTAAAGAGTATACATAAATTTTATTTATCAAGGTATTCTGCAACAAAGTGATAACATAGTACAAAGGTACATATGTTTGTATTGATTTCTGTGTATATATATTTTTTTCTTCTGTATTTGCTTTCAGAATTTTAGCTGTATAATATTTTGTAACCCAATTATGTAATTCCGCCGCGATAGTAATTTTTCTTACAAAATTATTATGTAAATGATAAATTAAATATTCATGAAGTACATTAAGAAGAGATTTGAAAAAAATAAATAATAAATATCATGCGTAAATGCTTTGGTTTTTTTTTCCTTCCTTCTTTTTTCAAGAATGTGTTACGTTTTTTTTTTTTTTTTNACGTTTTCTTTTTTTAAATCATTCATTGCCACTTATTTAATTTAATTACATATAATTTCAGGATAAAAACATATCTCAGTTTTTACATAAGCACATAAAAATTTAATATTTCATGCAGTTTTTCTG